TTTTGAAAAGACAGAGTCTTATTTTATCACCCTCGGTAGAGTGCTGTGGTGTCACACAGCTCACAGCAACCTCCAACTCCTGGGCTTAGGTGATTCTCCTGCCTCAGCCTCCCAAGTAGCTGGGACTAAAGGAGCCCACCACAACACCTAGCTGTTTTCTATTGCAATTTGGCTAGGGCTGAGTTTGAACCCACAACCCTCAGAAAATGGGTCCAGTGCCCTACCCATTGAGCCACAGGCACTGCCCACTTACACAGATTCTTAATTAGCTGAATTATATAGTTTCCTAATCTCAGTGACAAATTATAAGAGGGGTATCAAAAGAGAATATACAGATCATGAATGACAAGAGAAGCACTACAAGGGTAGCAAATAAGTATTAATGGAAATAAGGCTATAGCACAGATAGTAAAAGAAGTGAGAATTGGGAAAACTGTTCTTTGAATTGTGACAGTCTTACTAGTATGTGGTTCAGTAAATATTAGAAATTATACTGCTAACTCTTTCTTACTTGAGGAGAAAGAAAGAGTCAGAAGAATGATGAGAAGTATACTTCTAATGCTTTCTAACCATAGGAAGAGACATGGAAGTTCCTTTTCTGTAGACTGACAGTAAAGGTAGCGGGGCAGTTGCCCCACCTTCATGTTTGTTCACAAATTATATACAACTTTTTAAAAAAAAAAGTAAAAAAAGCTTTAAGAGACTAGAGACTATGTCCTTCTCACTTTTGAGTCCTCAGTTTATCACAGTATTTATAATAAATGATTGATTTAAGTGTGCAAAAAAAGTTGAGAATTAATAGTCCATTAGAAACTAAGATATTGGCTCAGTATCTATGGCTCAAGTGGCTAAGGTACCAGCCACATACACCTAAGGTGTGGTAGGTTTGAATCCAGGCTGGGCCCGCCAAAAAAACAATGACAGCTGCAACTGAAAAATAGCTGGGCATTGTGGTGGGTGCCTGTGGTCCCAGCTACTTGGGAGGCTGAGGCAGGAGACTCACTTGAGCCCAGGAGTTGGAGGTTGCTGTGAGCTGTGATGCCATAGCACTCTACCCAGGGGGATAGCTTGAGGCTCTATCTCAAAAAAAAGAAACTAAGATATCCTATTTCTGACAGATTGGTAGAAAAACATAATTGTATACATGACATTTAAGAAAATGTATCTATTGAATGAAATCAAGTATATCTGTTTGTATTTTGTCTATATTCCAGGGATGTTCAGGTCAATGTGAACACCACTATTGAACAGGATGGTGTGTTCTAGGTAGAAAAATCATTAATGGTGCAGTTTCCTATTAACCTGTCATTGTACATTCTATATGCCCATTCTATACTATAAGCCAAGGTATACTGGGCATATAGAATGTGGTTCTGTTGTTTTGTTTAGCTGCTGCTTTTTAGTAAACCTTTCAGTACCTTTAATTTAGCTATGCTTTCTGCATCCCTGTTTTAAAAATTTAACATTAATATTTATATTTTGTAGAACATGGATCTCTCTACATAGTGATGGATTACTGTGAAGGAGGGGATCTGTTTAAACGAATAAATGCTCAGAAAGGTAGTTTGTTTCAAGAGGATCAGGTAAGTTAACATATAGGAGATTGACTCTTAACTCCCTTAATGAGAAATAGTTTGAAGTTTGTCTATGTTTGTAGTTTGTTTATATGTATATTTTAAACCACACATGCTAGGGTAGTTTATTATCGTATCCATATCTTAGTTATGTTTCTGTCTAATTAGCTTTCACCTTTGCTCGTTTCCCCATTTCACTTCTAGTCCGTGGTAATACATTGTTACATGTGTAATATATGTTATATCCAGAGTGTGTGCATATACATGTCTACGTATATAACTTAATTATTCATCATAACTGGTTAATTATTTTATATTCCCTCAATCCAGCTGACTGCTACCAGATAATATCTTCCTTTTTTTGGTTTTGTTTTGTTTTGTTTGAGATAGTCTCACTTTGTCACTCTCGATAGAGTGCTGTGGTGTCACAGCTCACAGCAACCTGCAGCTCTTGGGCTTACACAATTTTCTTGTCTCAGCTTCCTGAGTAGCTGGGACTATAGGCGCCCACCATAAGGCCCGGATTTTTTTTTGTTACAGTTTGGTTGGGGCCGCGTTTCGAACCTGCCACCCTTGGTATATGGGGCGAGTGCCCCACTCACTGAGCTTAAAAGATAGCTTTGTCAGGTAGCTCCAGCTCTAAAAGTCTTACATTGGCAACTACACTAAGTCTAATTTCTGTTTTGATTTCAAGAATCTCTAAAATATGTCGCTACCCTACTTAAGTAGCCTTATTTTTTCCTATTATTCCATAATCTGTACCCCTCTGCATTTATTTTAGCAGGTATTTATTGAGCATGTACTTTGTAGTAGGCAGTGGGCCACATGTTTGTATATCTCATTCTCCTTCTTAGGTATTTTTTTCTGATTATTTTATTTTGGTAATGCTTTCTCCCCAATTCTCTATGTTCTGCTTGAATTTTTGTGAAAATTCAAGTTCTAGCCTCTTTAAATTTTTGTAACTAATATTCTATAATCTTTTCCTTCTTTAAATAGTCAATGCATTTCTCTTTATTGCCCATTTTTAATACTAATTGCCTACTTTTACATAGGGAAATAGAAAGAGCATTGTTCTAGGAGTGCTGTGTTTGTCTCTCTTAATTCTTATAACCCCATGAATTGGTATAGTTTTTTCTACTTAATAGATGAGGAATCTAAAAAAGGTTAAATAACTTGCCTCAGATCACGTAAGCAGTGTTTGAACCTACTTCTATCTAACTCCAGAGTTCATAAAAATTTCTTTTTACAAATTTAAAATAAATTATAAAAGTGTTAAAATATTCAGAAATAGAAAGTCTTCTGTTCCTAAGATTACCAGATAATTTGATATCGTGTACATACATATATCAAAACACACGCATTCAAAAGGGGTATTATATGTGCCATGCTTTATCTTTTGTCACTAAAAAATATATCTTGATTATCTTTATATATCAGTCCACATAAATCAATTATATTAGTTTTAATAGCTTCATTATATTTTATTCCAGCAAAGCTTTGTGCTTTATTTTTTTTTCTCTTTTATCATTATACCCTATTTCTTTTTCTTTAATTATTATTTTTATTGACTTACGGGGTACATGTATAGGTTTGTTACATGGATATTTTGCATAGTGGTGAAATCTCGGCTTTTGTGTAGCTCTCACCTAATTTGTGTATGTAGTACCCATTTGTGTTTTTTTTGTTTGTTTGTTTGGTTGGTTTTTAGACAGAGTCTTACTCTTTCACCCTTGGTAGAGTGCTGTAGCATCGCAGCTCACAGCAGCCTCCAACTCCTGGTGCTGTGGCATCACAGCTCACAGCAACCTCCAACTCCTGGGCTTAGGCAATTGTCTTGCCTCAGCCTCCTGAGTAGCTGGAACCACAGGCACCTGCCACAATGCCCGGCTGTTTTTTGTTGCGGTTTGGCTGCGGTTGGGTTTGAACCCACCACCCTTGGTATATGGGGCCGACATCCTACTCACTGAGCCACAGGTGCCATCCCTGTACCCATTAGGTGATTTCTTATCCCACATCATGCTCCCATACTTACAGGTCTGCAGTGTCTATTATTCTGTTCTCTACGTCCATATGTACTCATTATTTAGCTCCCAACTCTAAGTGAGAACTTGCAGTATTTGAGTTTCTGTTCCTGAGTTATTTCAGTTAAGATAATGGTCTCCAGTTCTATCTGTGTTGCTGCAAAAGACATGATTTTATTCTTTTTATGCTTAGTAATATTCCATGGAGTGTATATACCCCATTTTCATTGGTCGGTGGACACTTCGGCTGATTTCCCCCCTCCTCCCACCTCCTTAGGCCCCTCCAGTGTGTTTATGTATTTCTCTATGTGTTTGTTTTGTATACATGTATTTTTAGATGCATACATGTTGTATTACATCTCAATTCAGTTTTACATTTACCTAAGAGTTTCTCACCCATCAGTTGCTTCTGTTAGAGGATACTCCATGGTATTCATCCTCATCTACGCTTATTTCACTGCATCATATACCCTTTTTAAGGTACTCTAGATAATTGCACGTTAGAATTATATCCCTCCACTAATTTATAATTTGCTGTAGAGCAGAGATCATAGTTTTTACTTGTATCATCTAAGGATACTTAGGGAAATATGTCTGCAGTAGGTACCAAGTTGCTATAGCTGTTCCATTGACTGATAATACGGTACAGATGAAGACTTTTAGGTTCTGGGAAGTAACTTGAAAATATGTTAAGGTGAAATCTTCAGTTGTATTTTAGTTAAGTACTCTCTAAGATAAAAGTCATATTTCTCAAGCTTTACCTCCCTCTTGTTTCTACAGTTAAGCCCACTAGAAAAAGGATAGAATTTTGAATAAGAAAACATGGATTTGAGTCCTTGCTGTGCTTGTCAGCTTGGTAATTGTTATGTTAACAAGTTTCTTAATCGTTCTGAGAATGTTTTCTCTCTTGTTAATGAGGATGTACCTACTGTGTGGCTGATGTCACTATTATGAAGGTCAAATTGTAATATATGTTAATGTATGAAGTGCTATTTTTATTAGAACTTTATCAAATATGTTCCATTGCTTGTGCTCATTTTCATTCATCTCTATTAAACTTTAAAATGTTTATTACTAAATGACCTTCCACTGTAAATATAGCATGTTGAAATTCTGTAGATTTGCTTTTACTATGGGATAAATATTCTTGGTACCTAACAGTGTGTGTGTGTGTACACATAATGCGTTTGAATCTTATCCTAAAAATTATTATAGAGATTTATATACTTTGACCATCTCTTGAGATTATTCATCATAAATGACAAAAATTTGGCAAGTCATACTTTTAAGTTAAAAGAATTTTTCTACCCTTCTGAAACAAGTTTTATTAAACTTGTTTAATAAAGTTATTTATTTTAGTCTGTTTAAAATAGAAAGAGGTCACAAATAAAGATGTTATTTATTTTAGCCTATTTAAAATAAAAGAGGTCATTGAGATCAGAGGCCAACTCTGTTAGGTGCAGGTTAGCATCAGTCTGAAATGGTTTTGTCCATTTTCAGAATGGATATAAGGGACAGAAAGATCTGTGAAACAAGGCAATTATCCAACTATTGAAGCCATTCTCTTCAGTGGTACTTCCTTGTTTGCCTCTTTTATAGGACTAAAATCTAGTCAAGAAGCAACCTAAGTCTATAACTTTTAGCCAGTAAATAATGAAATGAACTAAGTATTCTGTTAGGGCGGTGCCTGTGGCTCAGTGAGTAGGTCGCTGAGGGTGGTGGAGTCAAACCCGGACCCAGCCAAACTGCAGCGAAAAAATAGCCGGGCATTGTAGCAGGCGCCTGTAGTCCCAGCTACTTGGGAGGCTGAAGCAAGAGAATTGCCTAAGCCGAAGAGCTGGAGGTTGCTGTGAGCTGTGACACTACAGCACTTTACCGAGAGTGATAAAGAGAGACTCTGTCTCTAAAAAAAAAAAAAAGTACATTCTGTTAAATAATCCCCACATAGATATTAAGAAGATGTGCCACAATTTTTGCCTTATTTCCAAGTTTTGGTAAGTTTTTTGATAGTCTTCCCATTTGTGATCATAAATGTTCAAATACATATTTTTGATCAAAATAAAGTCTGTGTTCATTAGAGTTGTCTGATATTTAGGTGCACCAAGAGTGTTGGTTAAACATACAGTCTTTGAGTGTGCTCTGAATACCCAGAGCCTTATAGTATTAAACAGCTAGTAAGGCCAGGGATGTTATTTGTTGTTGATTTTTTTTTTTTTTTAAGCCAGAATCTCACTTTGTTGCCCTAGCTAGAGTGCCATGGCATCATAGCTCACTGCAACCTCAAACTTTTGGGCTCAACTGATCCTCCTGCCTCAGCCTCCAGAGTAGCTGGGACTACGGGTGCCCGCCATCATGCCTGGCTAGTTCTTCTGTTTTTAGTAGAGGTAAGGTCTTGCTCTTGCTCAGGCTGGTTTTGAACTCCTGAGCTCAGCAACCCTCCCATCTTGGCCACCCAGAGTGGTAGGATTAGAGACATGAGCCTCCTCGCCCAGCCTAAGGCCAGAGAATTGATTTCTTTCTAGAAGTTTTCATGAGGAATTTTGGATTGGATTTTTTAAAACTTTATTATTTATTCTTCTAACCAAGCCCAATACGTTTTCTACTAGTTTTAACCTGTAGTATT